TGGGCCTTAGCATAAGTGACTCCATCTTGGGCCTGCTGTTTTGTTTTTAACACACTTAACTTTTTTTTTGAGAGCAATCTTATTTATAATAACCAGACCCTGGAAACAATACAAATGTCCACAATAGGTGAATGAATAGTCCAAATCGGGTATATGCATACAATGAAATATTCTTCAGCAATAAAACAGAATCAACTATTGGTACACACAACAACCTGGGTGAATCTCAAAAACATGTTGAGTAAAAGAAGTCGGACACAAACAAATACATATTATATAATGGAGGCATAAAGATAGGCATAATGATGGAAATCTGATGAATAGGAAGAAGGAGAAGAGGGGTTGCTGGTCATTGTTGACTGTCAAGGAGACTGGGGGTGAGGGAAGTGGTCTACCCACTTTTATTTATTTTTATTGAATTTATTGGGGTGACATTGGTGTGCTAGGGTGAGGGACTGAGGCATGGAAGGGTTACAGAATGTGCTAGGGTGAGGGACTGAGGCATGGAAGGGTTACCTATTGTATTAGGGTCCGGGATTGTGACAGAGAAAAATTGCTAGATTGTCTCAGAAAACAATGTATTATGATTCAACCCAGCCAGGTGTGACTCCGTTTACCTCCCCATTCGTACTTGTTAACTTTGTGTGAACCCTACCAGTGCCAGGAAATGCTTTCTAGTGTTGCAGATAAAAGGCTTTGCTGTGCCCTCGGTCGGCACTACAAGCTGCGAGGCTCCCGGGGAAGGGGGGGGGGGGGGACGAGGCTGTAGTCAGCTGGCCAGCTTAATAAAGGCTCCTAAATTTAAATTCTGAGTCGGTGGTCTATCTCGCTGATTGAACCCATAACAATTGGCTAATAAAATTATATAGGTTTTAGGTGTACAATTCTATATTATAACACATCAGCTGTATATGGTTGTGTGTGTTCACCACCCCAAGTCAAGTCTTCTTCTATCACCATTTATCCTCCCTTTACCCTCTTCTACCTCCCCTTACCCCCTTTACCTCTGGTAATTACCATATTGTTTTCTGTGTCTATGAGTTTTTGTTAGATTTTTTTTTTAATCCTAAACCTAACCCTAACCTTTTTCACCCAGCTCCACAACCCCCTCCCTTCTGACAGCTGTACAAAAAAGTTTTGCAGATCCCTGCTTTAGTGCATTAAGCTTTCCCTCAAAAGGGGTGATCAGAGGAACCCAGTTTTGTAAGATTACTTCATCAAAATGCAGCAGTCCAAAATGTTGGGGAAACAGATATAATGCTCCCACCTCCTGGGGCTATTCACAGTGCACTTTGGTGTATTGGAAGCTCTAAAATATCCTATGCAGAAGAAACGGTTTATTGTTTAACCCTCATTTGCCAAACTTCGTTGAGTTTCCAAATCTGCTTTTCCTCAGAATATCTCTTAACAATCCTGAGAAGCTAGCATTCTGTGGAAAGCCTGATAAATGCTAATTAGGTAAAATGATTTTATATTACCTGGTTCTCAGCCCGTCCCTGCCTCTAACGAGCTAAGTGACCTTGGCTCAATTACATATCCCTCAGGGCCTGCTTCCTCATTGGCCGAGTGGGATAATGTTGGCTGCTCTATCTCTCTTACAGATTTTTTTTAAGCAGGTCACTGAGATAGTGTGCATGAGAATGGCCTGGAACAAGACAACTTGGTGTAATTGGTTTTTTGATTAGTTTTGTTTTGATATATTGTTAATCATGGTGATGGTGGAGCAGGCACTAAATTAAGGTTCTGAGTTCCCTTTTCTGGTTCTCCCTCTGCTATTACTAACTGGGTTAACTGAGTGACTTTGAACAAGTCGCTCCCCCCACAGGGCTTCAGTTAGCTCCCGGGAGGCTGAGGGTTTTAGAGAGGTTAATCTCTAAGGACCTATTAGCTTAGAAATGCAATGATTCCCTTTGGTTACATGCATACAACTTCCCTACTTATCCAAAAACAATGGGTCTCTCTCTTTCACAAACCAGGAAGACAGCATCTCCTTGATTTTCTTAAGAAGGTGTCCGGGTTCAGACTCAGCAATGAGGAGGTATTGATAAAGGGTCTCTGATGCCGCTGACAGCTTAGGAAGCAGGGCTAACGCATCTGGGAATGTCTACCTGACAATTCTCATTCGCTATCAGAGTCTTTCTTTCCCTGCTCTTCAATTGCTCAAAGGCTTCTCTGCCCAGACATGAAGCTCAGGCAGCCGGTTAACAGACATGGCAAAATAAAAAAGCAGAGGTAACTCCTGAAAAGACAGTGGGACCAAGGATGGAGCAAAAGTGCCCCCCATAGGCATGAGATGAAGTGGTTATAAAAGCAGAATTTACATAAGTTCCATTTGGCCACTTTCTCTCTTACTCCTTCCCCCGGCCCCCTCAACCATTTTCTAGCCCCATCAACATCCTTGCTATCAAGGGTTTAGAAGCAGTGGAACAAGAGAAGCTTTGTGAAAAGGCGAGAATCTACTGAAAAATGCCCTCCTCCTCCACAAATTTAGGAAAATCCCAGAAAATCTTGACTGGGTCAAACGGTCTACAGCATGAGTATGGGGCCAAATGGGGAGAGATGATTTGAGGACTGGCTGTCCTTTTGGTCTCTATGTAAAAACCACCAGGGCACTCCTGAATGAAGGGACAGTCAGAGCATCTGCATGAGGAGGGTCCCCAGAGGCCACTGAGCCTGTGTCCCTGCAGTCAGCCATTCAGTCACAAATATTTATGGGGGGGGGGTGGGCTACTGGAATGGAAGTTCTCTGGGGGCATCGTGAGATAAAACACAATTACTGCCCTAAAAGAACTTGGAATTTACTTGAGAAAGCAAGGCTAGTATACATGGATATAATTCAATGTATGCAGTAGGCTGAATGCTAACAGATGTCAGAAAAGAGGGCAGCTGGCATGGGCTAGATGTGATGGTTGAAAATTTGTAATTCCTCACACTGATTGAAAACCTCTTACATTTTGAAACCTCCAAGAATGGAAATTTCACATTTTTCCTAGGTGACCTCCACCAGTATTTAATAAATCCTTTCTTGAAGCCTTTTTTGAGTCACACTGTCATCTTTGACTGTGGCCAGTTCATGACCTTTATAGGCCAAGGGTGGTCAGCTTTGCTTCCCCAATAAAGCACCAGCTCCATTCACTTCCTTGTGTACCGGAGGAGGAAGAATGAGAAGGGGTCATGGTGTTTGGTCCTGGTTATCCTTTCATTCCTCAGGGTCCAGGGTCCCTCTCTGGGACCCTCATGGTGGCACAGGCAGGAGAAGAACCCTCTTGGAGTATCTTCCTCTCCACATGGGGCAGCTGATCTGGCTGGAGGCTCAGCTCCAGCAAATGTGTCATCTGAATCAAGGTGACTCCTGGGGCCTTTTCTGTCTCCTGAGCTGCAAAGACAGAGACACTGTGAGGGCAGTGGGCACTGAACTTGATTCCTCAAGAATCCCCCCATCCACCACAAGCTTTCAAGAGTGTCCTGAGCCCTTAGGTTGACACAAATTGGGTCTGAGAATCTTAGTTTCCTCCACTCGTTCCCCCAAATCTCACCCTTTCTTTGCCAAATTTAAACACCTCGAAGTTTAAACTCATTTTAGGGATATTTAAACCTGAGCATGTTGCTGTAAGAGACTTTCAGCTGAGCCATGCCGAGGGTACAAAGGTAGTCTGGTCCCACATCTGAGCCCTGCACTCCTGCTATCTGCTGCTGGGGTTGCTCATATGGTTCATACGCCTACGGTTGGCATAGGTCTTGCCACCTTCAGAAGAGCTTCTCCGTAAGCTCTGGGATGCCACTGAGACATGAGGTGAAAGATGATTTCCCTGTTTGATAAAGAAACCCAGGCCAAAACCCCTGGCAATGGGCAAGGAGACATGATTGGTGGTGTTGCTCTTATATCAATCAGGGGCAAAGCAGATGTACAGTTCTTAGTTCATCCTAGCTTGATGCCTGTGTTGGTGGCCAGAGCTGTTTCATGCCTGAGGCACATAAAATAATCAATAAATTATATATATATATGGCATGATGCATGAACTTCGTGCAAGAGTAGGCCTTCCTTCCCCCCCTCCCAGCCGCTGCCGGCACCTGCTTCCCTCTGGCACCTGGGACCTGGACTTCCCTTGCAGCCCCACTTCATCCGGAAGGTCGTCCTGTCTAATTAGCAGATTGTGCTTTTATTATTATAGATATATGAAACCAAGACCAAGAATGGTTAAATGGCTCAGGCTAGAACTTACCATTTCTACATCTAGAAGTCCTGGCACCAACTTTGACCCAACCCTGTCCTGAGGGTGTCAGATGGGAGCAAGCCCCCTCCTCCCCACCCTTGGGGCTACTTAAACTCAACTCACAAGTCCTCTTTCTCTGCAGCTTCCTTTGCAATAGAACAAGAGCCACAAGCGCAAGCGGGCACAGCACCGTGGAGACAGGAGTCAGCATCCGAGAGATGTTTTTCTCTTCTGGAGAAGCACTGGAGTGCAAGCAGCAGGGGTCCTGGCTTGGTGCTGTTTGGGGACCACTGCCTCCAGCTGGCATGTCTAGGTCCCCTTCAGTGCTTCCTTCGGCAGATGATATCTCTGTGCTGGTGGGCCCCCAGGCCCGCACACCTGCAGCTCCAGTAGTTCCTTCAATGGAGCCCAGGGCTGGTGGCGTTGAAACCAAGCTTGGTTCTTGGCGGGTTTCCCACACCCGTTTTTCTGAGGCCAGTGTTGATGGCCCAGTGGTCTTTATGACGGTCCAGTCTGTAGCCAGGGCTATTCTGACCCTTTCTGCTTCCTCTCTTAGCCTATTGGCCTCAGTGGTTGTCTCTCTCCCCTCCTCTCTGGCCCCAGCTCTGTTTGTTGCTGAGCTCCTGGTGCCCCAATCACGTTCCGCTGTATCGGGCATCCCTCCGACTGCTGAAGCCGGACTCTCCGGAATAGGGATGGTGGCCCAGCTGGAACTCTCTACCTGGCTAACTGTCCCTGCAGCTACCAACCCAGGGGTTCCTGGGGTTTGCATTCCCTTAGCCGAAGCTGTTCTTTTGCTGGTTTCTGGAGTCAGAGCAGCTCTGCCCCATTCTGTCCCCTGCCTTTCTCTAGTCTGGGTGGTTCCTGGGGCCCATCTGTTGGCCGCTGGAGAGGCTGTTCCGAAGGCTCTCCTGAGGCGCTCACTGGCAGCTGACGTTGCTCCGGGGCTGGGACTGGGAGAGCCTGTGTGAAGGGCAGAAGGAAACATGGGAAGGCTCTCTGCGGCCACGGGGTTTGGCAAAGGATGCCAGGCTGCAGGTGTTCGCTACATGCAATGCAACCTCACAAGGTGATACGGTCTTGGGCCAATCTGTTGGATAAAATTAAAATTTGGGAAAACCAGACATATTCTCTAGTCTGTTGCAAATATTGACATTTGATGGTCCTGTCTCCCCTTTTCTGCCCACATAGTCTCTAACCAAGCTGGTGGGGCCTGCGTGCTACTCCGTTTCCCAGAGGCCCACAGCTCAGCACGTACTGTCATCAAATAAGAAAAAAAGAAGTCCAGTCACAGTAGAGCAGCCAGTCTCAGCAGGTGGTTACATCACAAGTGACACCTAATAAATAAAAGAAGTCCATGGGCTTGATACGCCATCTCTCCTGTAGACTGGTGGTCATAGCCTTCCTCAGACTCGGGGTGCCTGGCTCAGGGTCAAGTCTCCAGGGCCCGCCACGCAGGGCACGGACCTGGTAGCGTCAGGTGTCAGCTGAGGGGCTGTCTTAGGAAGAGCCGGGTCCTGATTCTCTGTCTGGCCCGTCCTACCTGCTCTTCGCGTCTGAACAGAGACACCATGGCCGTAAGCAGCCACATTATCCAATTCATTACTTTCTTGGAACTCTCCCTAAATGTACAGGCCACACATTGCAGGGGGGGGAGGGGGGAGATGGCCAACGTGCATCCTGTTGGGCAGTTCTCCCTGGCATCTGCCTTCCTTCTGATGGTGGTTTCCTAGGAGATGAAGCCTTCTTCTCAAAGTCCGTGCCTCGCCCCAGCTTTCCCTCATCACCCCCTCTGGGACCCCTTCCTTCCCTTACACCTGTTTCCTGGCACCCGCTTCGTCAACCTTGACTCACCCATCCCTGTGGAGATGGCCAGGTTCATGCTCAAGAACAGCATGTCGTTCCCGTTTCCGATGCCACAGCGGTAGGACCCCCCATCCTCCGGGGACAGCTGGGTCAGCCTCACCACAAACAGGCCGCGGTGCGGGAAGTCCGCCAGCGCCACGCGGCCCCTGTAGCGCCCGTGCGTGTAGTGGTTGGTGGACACGACGGTGTGGCAGAGCCACGTCAGGGGGCTCAGGCGGCACCAGTACTTCCGCTGGTGCCTGTTGATGGACGTGGGGGTGTAACGACACTGGATGGTGACAGCGCCCCCAGGCTCCCCAGACACCAGCCTCGGGCCCTTCAGCGCGTTGGCAGCTGCAGGCAGAGAGAGCAAAGTCTCAGGAGAGGGAGTGTCATGTCCAATCCAGCTCCACACTCTGCAGGATTAGGGGGCAGGTGAGGAAACGCCTCCTTAAAAGTGAGGCAAGAAGAATCAACATAGAAATGTCAGAACTTAGCCCCCAGGCGAGGAGTCGTCTCAAAATCTGGCATGAAGCTACATCCAAGGCCCCATCTGAGAGACGGGCTCGCAAGAAGCACCTTAGCCATGACTTAGCCCACACTCCTCATGCGCCAGGTGTTCGCACACACACAAGTCCGTGCAGGGCCTGGGCTGCGATGCAGATGTTTAAAAGGCTGCCATCTAAGCATGCGTAAGAGGGCAGAGGGGATATCTGATAGAGGACTGCGGTGTATTTGCATGAAATGTAAAGAGAAATGTTCAATAGTAAGAACAGATCAGCGCGCTTTCTGCTGAAACAGGGGTGGGGGTTGGGCGTGGGGAGGGGACTGAAACACAAGAATTCTGGGCGGCATGGCGGGTCTCTCCCCAGACCAGGGGTTGCAAACGTGTTCACATGGCCACCTTTTGGTAGAAACGGTCACAACCACCTGCCACGGCGAGGCCCAGAGGCTGGTAGTGTGACTACGTCTGCTTTGGCAATAGGCGTAAATCCCAGTCGAACCACCGCATGTGGCCTGTTTACTGAATGCCTTAAATTTGATCGGTGCCAGCAGAAACAACGCTTATTCTTTCTCTTTCTGCCTCTTCATCCTCGCTCTGTGGACTTCTCTGCTCCTTGAGACAATCTCAGGCATGCTTTCGTGCACGGTGGCTTTCAGTCTCACCCGGGTAAGAAAAGCCCAGCCTAGACTGGTTGCATATGTAAAATCATGGAACCGGTCCAGTCCAAAGACTGTTTCCACCTCCACTCTCTGACCCAACTGAAGCTATTCTCTTTCTTTCTCCCAGTTAGGTTTGGGGGCCTGTGTGGAGGAAGGGGACCTTTGGGGGTCTCTTGCTTTGCTCTACCCCCAACTGCTCTTTTAGGCCCCTCTGGGAGTGGATATGGAGGAGAGCAGAGAGAGGGACAGTGGGGGTCTGCTCTGGTGCCCTCTGGACATGCAAATGGCCAGAGCAGCTTCCTTCTCTGCTGCCTCTGTCCAGGCCTCAGGCTGCAGTCCCTTCCTTGTGAGAACTGCCTCTCCTGCTGGCCTCCTGGGACCCCACCACCACCATTCATCATCTGAGCCTGATATGTACCTGGCCAGCCTCACCTCACCTGCTGCCAGCGCCTTTAGGGAAGGGATTCTGCCTTTTATCCATTTGTCCCTAGTGCCTGGCACATGGCAGGCTCTCCATAAATATATATCGACTAAGTAAGTATTTGCATAGATACAATTTTTATTTATCTATCTAGTTTTTTTTTTATAGACTCTAACTCTCTTGTACGGGGCCTTATTGTAGAGTAAGTGGTCACAGAGCCGTGCTAGTTTTTTTTGCACATCCTGGAACCTTGACCTTACAAATGCAGCCGACTTCCAGTCGTTACGTTGAATGGAAGAGAGCAGAGAGTAGGGAACATCAGAACAGCGAATATTCTGGAAGCCATCAAGTCAGGCATGTGCCTTCTTCCTCGCTCCCCCGGGGCCCAGATCTGACCACTCCCTGGGCCCGCTGCATGGCCTTGGATGCCAGGAGAGAAAGCCACGGCGGTGCCCTAACTACCGAGGGAGCACTGACTGCCACCGAGGTGCCCGACAGGAGTCTCCGCAGCCTGGAAGGCTCGGATCTGACTTTGCAAGCTCTGCCTCTGGGCTGTTTGGGACTCACCTTGCAGCAGGCACAGTATGAGGGCCACCTGCATTTTCCATCCTGCCCTCTGGTTGGCGACCTGCAAAAAACACTGTAAATGGAGAGGCCTGAGGAGGAAGCGAAGAGCTGGAGTGAGCAGCAGTGGGCCTGAGTTCAGTACCTTCTCGCTTTGGGGGCTCGGTCTGCTCAGTGTGGGCCGGGATGGACATCTCTAAGAGCAGGACAGGGGCCGCCCTCTCTGAACAAAGCTGGACTCCGTCTTCACACGCCCAAGCACACATGCTTGTCCTGGGCCACTGCCACCAAGGCTACCACTTCCCCGCTCGGCCGTTTCTGTGTTCAGAAGAGGCGGAAGGCCCTCTGTGGCATTCCACCCTCTGCACCCACTTGGCAGTGGGAGCTCTGGGTTTGGGGAGCTCTGGGTGTGGGGAGCTCTGAGCTCGGGGAGCATGGCGCAGGGGGAAAGACCATATGCTGGAGGTTTAACCCTTAGTGGCCCTGTGGGAACTGGACAAGGGAAAGAGAGTGCGCACATGGGGTTGTTACACGACACCAATGAGATTGCGTTGGAAGTGCCAACAGTGTGCCTGGTACAGAGCAGCGACCTCCCCCTCTCCCGTCCCCTTCTCTTTTGTAGAACAGATTCCTCATGGGAAACTTTCTGCTCCGCTGATCGTGTGCCTCTGGTCGGTAACAAGGAATTAAAAATGAACTCTCAGCCCCAGGATTGTCTGCACGAGGGTCCTATTCTGTGTCTTCTCCACAGCTTCTAGAAAGCTCTCCCTGTCCCCCCATTTGCACCCATCTTCCCTGTGGTGTCTCCCACTGGCCTGGGGAGCTCCCTGCAGACAGGGCTGGGCCTCCTCTGTCCACCTCCAGGCTCTGAAGCGGGATCCAGCTCAGTGTGAGCGGCTGCTGTGGACAAGACCACTCTTGATAGACCCCATACTGAGCATGGCAATGGTCTCTTAGTGCCTGCCCATTCAGAAGACAGTGCACATGGTACTTCTTTTGTACCCTCCATGGTTTTCATGGATGCTTTTCGATGAAAAATCTGGTCTTTGAATCTATCTACTGCCTGCAGTTCCGAGGACCTATCGATAACAAATAAGGCAAACTGCCCTGGCTAGTGTGGCTCAGTTGGTTAGAGCATCATCCCACATTCCGATAGGTTTCAGGTTCAGTTTGCGGGTGGAGCACATATGGAAAGCAGCCAATAGATGTTCTCTCTCAGATTGATGATTCTCTCTCTCCCCCCTCTCCCTTTCTCTGGAATCAATGAGCATATCCTTGGGTAAGGATTTTAAAAAAAAAGGCAAACTAAAGAGCCATTGTTTTCTCCTTCCTGCTCTCACATCCCACACCAATGCTAAGAACAGGCTCTGCAAGCCAGCGGTCTGGCCCATGGGCAGGAGCCTCCTGCCCCCCCTGCCCCAACTGAACCTCTGAGCTACACGAGGTCACTGGCCAGTCCAGGACACAGGCTACAGGAGGAGAAAAGGGAATGGAGGAGAGGAGACAGGAAGTAAGTCAGAGAAAATAAGAGCAGTGGGAGAGGAAAGGAAGGGTGGGAGTTGAAAGAAAAAAGAGAGGAGAGAACACGAGAAAAGTAGAACCCTAGGTTTGCCCTATAGCTGCACATTGTCACGGCAGCTTGGCTCTGCCGGCCTATCCAGATAGAGCCCTGAGCGTGGTCGGATTTGAAGCAGTCCAGGGGCTCCTTGTGCCCGTTCTGTGCCCTCCTTCAGCAGCCCCCCTGTCTTGGGCACAGCCTTGGGCCTCCCCTGCCTCCCAGAGCTCCGGCTTCCTGCCCTGGCCTGGAGGCTCCCCCAGGTGTGCCCGCACCTAGTCCATTGTTTGATTAATGTTCTCTGAGCTCAGGCTCATTCCGAGGCTGGCACCAGGCCCCCGGTTTCCCTAAAGAGCTAAGTGCTGACGCTGCACGCATTGGGGCCAATTTCTTCGGGGGCACAGTGGGGCCGCGTCTCTGCCTCAGAGGGGCAATGAGGAAGCACAGCGTAGAGATTAAATGTCCCTGGGCAGTTATCAGCCTTGATTGGAGGCTGCAGGATAACGCAGCGCCATGTCTTGGACCCTGCCAATGACCTCCAGAAAACCTTCCTCCTGGGCAGGGAGCCCCAGCTCAGCAGCGGGCCGCGGGCCTGTGACAGCGCACGGCTTCTCAGGCGATGAGGGATGCTCGGGGCTTCTCTTGTCCCCCGGTCCTGCCGGGAAGAGCATCTAGCTCACCTCCAGCACAGGCTGGTGTATGGCCCCCACATCCTCCCGCCCTCCTGAGAGCCACTTCTCTCCTATCCTCCCAGCCCTGGGGACAGCAGACAAGGAAGGAGGGAGCCAGTGAGGTGTAGATGGAAGCGAACAGAACAGAACCAGGATTAAGGAGGGTCCGCCGGAATGGCCTCAAGCAATGCGCCTTCCATCTCCGCTGCTACAGCGGAAGAGCGCTGATTGCAGGATCTCCAAGTTTCCTTGGCTGTCTAGCACTTGTTGGTTCTACATGATGCAAGGGGCCTCCAGGGAATCAAGGTCTGGTGGGAGGGAGAGTGGGAATGAGCAGAAGAGGAGGGGGGAGGAGGAGAGGCTGAGCCCTGAACTCCAGAGTCTTCCCTGGCCTTCTTGGGGGGGTGCGGGGGGGGAAGGGGGGGGAAGCCCAGCTGCTCTGGGAAAAGCACTTGACAGCCGCCCACTGCAGCTCGGCACCCACATTCCACACTCGGAGACCAGACCCCGACCTCTGGGGAGAAAGCCTCATCTCACCTTTTGTCCTCCAGGCGTGGTGGGGGCCTGTCCATCCATCTCGGTCTAGAAATAAAGTCCACTTGCACTCTCCTCTTTCTCTCTTTGAGATGCCGGTGGTTGGACCTCTTCTAGCTGCTTCTCTTGAGACCTGTAGACTGAGGAGGCAGCACGGGCTGGGAAGTGGCCGGAGGCAGCCCTAAGGATGGAGGTGCAAGCGCAGCTCTGCCCTCACCCCCACCCTCGCCTCAAGTCCCTTCGCCCTGGGCCTCGGGTTTTATCCCATGACGAGGGAGCCGGTCCCGGCCCCTTGGTCTCGCTGTCCCTGATTTCTGTAGAACTTCTCCTGGAGCGGTGACAGTCGTTCCAAAGAAAACACACTGGTCATAGCCGTCCACCACTTGTCACCCCTCCAGTCCCGGGTCCCAGACCTGTCAGGATGCCCCAGCTGAGCCAGCCCATGCAAGTGATGCAACCCCCGGGCAGGAGAGAAAATTCAGGAGAGGAATTCCCCGGCTGACCGGGGGCAGCTGGTGCCTCCGAGCTGACCTGGCCCCTTGGACTCCCCTGCAGAGGCCGTTTGGGTCACTGACTGCAGTCCAGCTGCTCCCTGGCAGTGACTAAGTCATGCCCTGGACAAAGCCCCACACAGGGAGGAGATGACCTCGTGCAAAGAGAACACGAGGCTTGTCTGGCTGGATGACACGCTTGAAAAATCCCCCAATAGTTCCCTTTGGAACGATGTCATGGGTGGGTTTTGTCTCCTACAAGATGTGACCTGCCTGCTCTGCTGGTTTTAAGCTGACCTCTCAGTGGCGGGCACAGCCCAAGCCCTCAGCAGCCAAAGGGTTCCTGGGACGGAGGTGCTGCAGACTGGAGTTAAGGACTCTCACCAGGACCTCGCCGACAATGTGGCGCCCTTGGGCCAACGAAGAAGGACCCTTCTTCCTTAAGAAGGTACATTGCTGAACAATTTGAATAAACACAGTGACAGCGTGTACTTCTATGCATTTCCCCATCCAGGTAGGAAGACAGGTTGGGGTGGGGGGTGGGAGTCCCTGAAAGCAAGGAAAGGAGCAACTGCCCAGGACACCTGGGCTGGGACGAGGTGGTCTCGTGCATGTGTGTGCCCAGGAGCGCGCACAGGTGCCTGTGCTACTGTCCCAGGGCTTGGCTGGGCGCCCCAGGCTGGAGCTCAGCATCTTCACCAACACTCAGCCTCCCGTGGACAGTAGGCCCCAGCTACGCCATGAGCGGCATCCCCTGAGCGAGGCGCGCTTGCTCAGGCGCAGGGCCCGTCAGAGGCTGTCCTAGGACAGAATGACCCTGTGCAGGGGGAGGAAGGCTTAACGCCTGGCGAGGTGCCCCCCTCGCAACTTCTCGGGGAGCCGCCTGGTATTTCGGTTGATCGATCCATGGGTTGATCACTAGACTTTGGAATCAGACTCCCTCCAAGTTAATATCGCAGCAACCCTCCCTTTTTACTGAGAAAGTGATTACAGTCAGATTGTTTACCCTCCTTGAGCCTTGTTTTCCTAATCTGTAAAACAAGAGGTGATAGCACCTACCTCATAAAGTTATTATGGGGAAGAAGTGTGATAGTGAGAAAACATTAGCTGATAAAATGTAACAGTTCAGCTTGCAGCAGCAGGAAGCTGGTGTCTGTCTGGTAATGATCAAACCTTTAAAAAAAAACGTCCTTTTTGCCCTGCCGGCGTGGTTTGGTGGTGTGAGCGTCGACCTATGAACCAAGAAGTAACGGTTCGATTCCTGGTCAGGGCACATGCCCGGGTGGCGGGCTCAATCCCCAGTGAGGGGCGTGCAGAAGGCAGCCCATCAGTGATTCTCTCTCACTATTGATGTGTCTCTCTCTCCCTCTCCCTTCCTCTCTGAAACCAATAAAAAGTATATATTTTTAAAAGTCCTTTTGAAGGCTTTCATCTGTTCAGAAGTCTGCCACTTTCTTACATTTCTTTGTTCTTTTGCCATTTCCTTATTTTGGCATTGAACGATTAAAAAGAAATCAATTGTTGGGGACATGTCTGAATTGATTTTGTATATTAAAATAAGTATCTATCAAATGTGTATTATCCTATAAACAGTGCAGTCATTTTACACCCTTGGGGCTGTCTTTTCTATTTTGCTTACTTTTGGACGCTTTGAAGACTATTTAGTTACTAAAGACACCAAGTACAGTAACGCCAGGTAGTTGTGAAGCACTGGGCCAGTTTCCAGGGTCTTGTCCCCGAGCCTGGACGGCTGAGCCTGGAGCTTTAAGGGCGATAAACTGCACTGGCTTCTTCTCCTGGGGGTACATCCTGCCCAGCACAAAGCCACAGGTGGCCTTTATTTTATTTTATTTAGTTTTATTGTTAATCCTCACCCAAGGATATTTTTTCATTGATTTTTAGAAAGAGTGGAAGGAATGGGGAGAGACACAAAGAAAGAAACATTAATGTGAGAGAGACACATCGATTGGTTGTCTCCCACACATGGCCTGGGGCTCAAGCCTGCAACCAAGGTACATGCTCTTGACTGGAATCGAACCGGGGACCCTTCAGTCCCAGGGTCGAACCTCTGTCCACTGAGTTAAACCAGCCAGGGCCAGGTGGCCTCTTTACAAAGGCTCATGACACTGTGATCTTCTGATTTCAGGTCCCAGACTCCAGGAAACGGCTAAGTAATACTTAGACCAAATGCCAGACTTGGGAAGAGCTTTATCCACTCCCCATCCCAGTTTTAGCAAAGGATTTTACCTGCTAAATGGACACACAAGGGTGAAAATCCGCAAGCAGAAAACTAACCAATGCAAGGAAAGCCCTTTGTGGTATAAAATGACCCATATTGATCCCTTCTCTTTCCAAAATGTTTCCTGGTGAATAAATTAAGAGCAATGTACAGAGACGTATTGTGCATCGATGTGGCTGGCACTCAAGGCTTACATTCTCCTTATACATCATTGCAACGTTTCCTGCTTACTCTGCCCACATATTTGAGCTTTTTTCTATCGGGAGAGATGCCCCCCCCCCCCCATGCCAATTCCTCACCAAAGCTCTGGTCAGAATACCAAATGCAGAAGAAAACACTGTTTAAAGACACTTGGGTTACTACAAGTCCTACAAGCCTTGATCATTTACTTAGAAACTCCTAGAAGAATGTAACTATGACACTTGTCACTCCTCCAAACGATATCAGAAGGAAGTATTTGTACAGCACAAATAATCATTTCAGAGTCGTCGTCCCCCCCATTACCTATGATTTCACTTTTTGAGGTTCAGTTACCTGCAGTCAATTGTGGTCTGAAAAGATTAAGTGGAAAATTCCAGAAATAAACAATTCATACTTTTAAAATATATATATATATAATCTCAGAGAGGAAGGGAGAGGGAGAGAGAGACAGAAACATCAATGATGAAAGAATCATTAATCGGCTGCCTCCTGCACGCCCCCTACTGGGGATCCAGCCCACAACCTGGGCATGTGCCCTGATTCATGAATCGACGCTTAACCACTGAGCCACACCAGCTGGGTCAATTCATACATTTTAAATGTTTTAAATTGCGCATCATTCCGAGGAGTGTGATGAAATCTTGCGCTGTCCTGCTCTATCGCAGGTGGGACGTGAATCCTCCCTGTGTCCAGCGTCTCCACGCCACAGACACTCTCCCAATAGTCACCTAGTATCTGCCATCTTGGTTACTACATGGACTGTCGAGGTAATAATAATAGTCTAACGCTAAGTCCCTTGCCTACATCACTCACCTCACTTTATCTCATCACCTAGGTATTATGTCATCTCACATTATGACAAAACTAGAGGCCCAATGCACGAAATTCGTGCAAGAGTAGGTCTTCGTTCCCCTGGCTGCCGGCACCGGCTTCCCTCTGGCACCCGGGACCCGGGCTTCCCTTGTAGCCCCGGCTTCATCCGGAAGGACTTCTGGCCTAATTAGCATATTACCCTTTTATTATTATAGATGAAGAAGGGTGAGTACAGTACAATAAGAGATTTTGAGAGAGAGACAAGAGAGAGACCCCATTCATATAACTCTTATTCTAGTATATTGTTATAAATGTTCTATTCTATCATTAGTTATTATTGTTAATCTCTTCCTGTGCCTACTTTATAAATTAAGTTTTATCATAAGTATGTATGGGTAGCAAAATACATTATATAGAGAGAGTTTGATACTCTCTGTGGTTTCAGGCATCCACGGGGAGTCTTGGAACGTATTCCCCTGTGGATAACAGAAGACTGCTGTCCAATGGCACTTAGCAGGTTTGACAACCTCCGCCATCATGTGGCTGATAGTAAAGACTGCAATCCGGCATCATTAACACCCCTCCAGACACAACAGGCATGGGGAGGCGGCAGGAGAGCGCTGTGGTTTATGTCCACACACACGGCTGGTTAAAGCACAGGGTACAGAACCCTAGCTCATTTCCTAGAACACAGGGGCATGTTGTCTAAGACCTCAGCTCACACTCATCTCCGCATGTTTTGGGGACAAAATTCAACACAATAACAGGGGGGACAAAAAGAGAAAAGAAAAGAGCTGACAAAGTATCACCTGGAAAACAGTTGTTGGACACACCTGAGCAGCCTGTACCTCCCAACCTCAGAAGCTGCTGGGAGCAGGGTCCTTCCCAGGGTGTCCCCGAAAATGCTTGAAACAAGTCTGATTTTACGAGGTGAGAGAGGCCAGCTTCTCACAGCTGCCAGTACGGTCGTGCCATCTGTCCCATGGCAGGGGACGGACCAGGTGATCCCCCCAAATCCTTGCATTTTAAGGCACCCTCGCGGTGTTAGCTTTATTTGCAGAGCTGTAATGAGTTACCCCAGGGGCCCCTTTCTCTGCTACAGATACTGGAACCGCCCACAAGCTGCGATACTTTTTCAACTGTGAGAAGATGCTGCCACCTTGTGGCAGAAAGATGCCATGGCTCCAGTGACCATGTACCATTACTCAGACTAGGACACTTTTTAAAGTGAAAGGGGGCACTTTTAATCACTGTGGTGGGACAGCAGGTGTAAATAGAAACAATCATAATTGTTCACA